AGAAGCAGCGATCCACCGCAGTCTAATTAATCCTTCAATCGACGCAAGGAAAGACCGTCTTTCATGACAGCCTTCAGCATCTGGGACCAGTTTCACTTATGTTCGCAGGGCATAACCTGCAGTTGTCATTTCCATTATAAATCCTACCCCTCTTGCGTCTTTCACTTCTGGACCCTGCAGAGATTGGTCTTGCGACTCCATATTTTTCAATTTTATTCTTAGAGCGAAGAGGGCAGGAAGGAGAGTGAGAGGAAGAGAAATACACGATGAAGTTAGAGGGATTTTAATGTTTATTCCCAGAATAATCATTACAGAGTCTTTTGATCATCTTAACGAGCCAAGGATGTCTCACGAAGAGCATTTGGGCAAGTCTCTGCTAGGGATGTAAAGGGGAACCGGTTATCTGGTTACCCGGTAAACACGGCCTTAGTGGCATGCGTATGGATTAACCGGTGCCCAGGCGGGTTGGAGCAGGGAGAGGAAGATTGTTCCTGTGCGGCACCACAGGTAGGGGATGCTCCGGCCCAGGTAGGCCCACCATGCCGGTTAACAGGTTAATGATATTGTTCAACTGGTTAACATTTTAAATGGGATTTTCCATCCCTTGTCTCTGCCCAGTCCGGGCTGAAAGAATGACTCTGTGCTTATTGTTAATGGTTCACGATAAGCAGGAGAACCTCTTCACTGGCTTGTGTGTTTCTACTGGGGTGCGCGCTCATTAAGTTGTTTCTGTAATATCCCTGGTAGGAATTGTACTGGACATGGGGGCTGAAGCTTCAGCCACGGAGGAACATGCACCCAAACTAAGCTTTTCAAGTCGAGTTTAAGACTAACCCTTCCCATTAGCCTCTGAAGATGTTAACGAAAACATATTTATAAAACGAAACATGGTGCTGCTCGATTGAGAGAGAAAGAAGCCAGCAAATCGGGTAGCATTTCCCCACAGACAAGAGATGAGATCATGAGGACACACAACCAACACTAAGACAGGGCGACGCCAACTTTAAAAAGCAGTTGATGCAATTTATGTCAACTCGTATCTGCATTTGCAATTAACTGTAGGTGTCACCCCAGGAAACCACATATATCTGCACATTGGCAGCTGCAATTAACTGTTCAAATGTTTGTCCCGAGTCTTCATTAAGGGCCATCTTCAAAAATCATGGCCCCGTTTTAAGCCTGGTCATGGCCCAGTCTCCTGTCCTTTCTGAACTCTTCAGCTGCCATTGTAGCGCTGAGATAAGGCCAGATCAGGTTTTGAGCAAGACTGGTCACTCAGCTCTCCAAAGAACGGCGTTTGCTGTATTTCTAGAAAGGGTTGAGACACGCCGATGATCACTGTGGGTTTATGCTGAGTTTGGAGATGGTGCTTGCCTGGGCGGAGGCACAGCACGACCAAATCAACTTCAAAACCAAGTTAAGCTGAACACACAAAAATGGTGGTCTCAATCAGGTTAGCGAACAGAGCACGCGCTCCTGATATGGACGAGGTTCCTGTAACCTGACGTGTACCAACCGTGCTTAGTGCACTTAGTGCAAGTGCAGTGATATGCCCGCCTCAGTGGCAGGCAGGCTGTGCCCACACTTGTCACTGTGCGGGTCACCCCATGCAGCAGCAAAAGGCTCCGGCCTTAGGGAAAGGCTCCGGCCCCGGGACCAAGCCTTTGCCTTGTCTTCCATTGTGGCAGAGCAGGCGCCAGCAGGACACGTTGCCAAACAGAGCAGTGTAGACATAGGAGGCATTGCCTGGGCATGTAGAGAACGTAGCTGGGAGGTTCGGGTGGATTCCTGTCTAGGCTACTCCTTATACCTTGCTAGCTGGGTGAGTGTGTTATCCCCTAGGCCACTCCCTGCTTCGCTACCTTCAGCCAGTCCCTTATCCTACCTTCCTAATGCAGCTGCCAGGTCCATCCCTGGCATAGCCTGTGTTGGCTGCCCAACCACAGCTAGAGTGTGGAGAGGGGACTCGAACTTACCACCCTACACTGCCCAGGCAAATGCCCTATCCCCTAAGCCACTCCAGAACGCACCCCACCACCCTCTCGTCAGCTCTTACAAGCTGTTGTGAGTGTAGCCCTACCACAGAACCTAGGCCACCCTTACACCCGTTCCTCCAAGGAAAGGGAGAGTTCAGCACAAAAGGAGGGGCAAACGGAGAAGAGACATGGCACTTCCTGCAGATGCAAACAACTTCCTTCATGAGCTGGTGCAAGGAGTCCAGTGAATGGGCCGTTTCAAATCCAGCCTGTCACTACATCAATGGGGATTTCCCATTGAGAAATTCACAGCAGATAGCTCTAATGCACTGGTGACGTCCTCCTAAATCAATATCTTACTTTTAAATCCAACCTCCTGCATTTCCTGGTAGTTTGTAGTATCTGTCCGGAACGTTAAAGCAATTGGCTAAGGAAGATAACAATCCAGGGTATTCCTGGAAACAAAGCGCAGAGTCAAGATTACTCACACTGTCCACTGCGAGAATTTTGGCCCAGATAAAGACAAGAAGCGGTCTCAGCTCCCGAGCTGAACTCTGAAGCAGCTTCAGCACATAAGGGAAAATGCCGACAGACAGCGCCTGGGGAGAGAGGCAGAACAGCAAATTACCATAGGCCTCCGAGACCCATTACAGGAAGAGAGCCGGACAGGGGTCCGAATTGCTCGTTTTCCAAACGCAACATTTAATATCATACGTTAATAGTAAAGGGGGGATTCTTGTGTCGTCATTTTGCTCTGATTTTAGCCCTGGGTCTCCCCAGATATTTTCAGACTCATTTGGTCCACTGAGACCAAGAGTTAATTTAGCACCAGCTTTTATTCGTTACGGCGTGCCACTCTCCTCCCTCAGACGGGGCTACTTGCTCCCACAAGGCAGCAGACTGCAAAACCTCATTAATTACAAGCCTCCCACACTTCCAGAGGCTTTTCAATAAGCTACTTGCGTGGTCTTAGAGGCTAAGAGCATGCAGGAGGGCACGCAGCTAGGGCTCCGGATGTCACAGGGGTGGTGGAGTCACGGATTCTGTGACTTTCAGCAACCTCTATGGCTTCTGCAGTGGCTAGTGTGGCTAACCCCAGGGCTGGTCAAGCAGCTGGCTTTGGAGTCAGCTGTTCAGGTGGCCCCGGGGACAGCCACACCAGCTGCCACTTGGGCAGCTCCCGGCAGCTGCCCTGCAGTGGCTGGAGCAGCCCTGGTCCACGGCCCCAGGCAGAGGTCGCTGGATGGCCAAAGCAGCCATGGTAGCAATCCCCAGGCAGTTGGCAGGAGCAGCTGTGGTCTGTGGTCTCTAGCAGATGGTGCTGCTGGACAGGGTGGTCCTGGCCCTGATCTCTCCCCCAAGAGCACCCCTCAGGAATTGCCTCTCCCTTCCCCCGCTACACCCAGCAACAGCCTCCTCCCATCCCCCCAAGATTTAATGACTGGCACTCTTTGCATAGGTGAGGAGTCGAGACTCTTTGATTAATGCCCATGACCTGTCCATAACTTTCACTAAACTTACCCATGGCTAAACCCCAACCATATCTGGCGCTAATTACGCTAGCTAGCGTTTCACCATCGCTGAGCGATTCCTGTGCACCATCTACACACATGCAGTGCAAAATAAACATGCAGGGAGGGATCATGCCCCCCTCCTCCTGCCCCTGCACACTGCCCACAGGGGGCGGGGCAGAAATCCTCCCTCCACAGGCTGTGTGCTGCCATAGGCCAAGCAAGCAGCGTAGCTAGTGCGGGAGGCCCTCACACACACCACCCCAGCGAGTCTGGCTTACGACGCTGGCACACAAGGGAGGCAACTGTGATTTCGAGTCAGCCCCATGAATTGCTGATGGTTTAGCTCCTGCGTGCAGTAGCTCCGAATCCTGACCGTTTAAAGCCAACTTTGACCCCCTGCCTCCTCGGGCTAGGCCTTCTGCACTGTTTCTGGAAGGTGCAGAACAGAATTTGGCACTTGTGGCTGGGAGGAGGAGGAAAGAGAGCCATGAAAGTTCCCATCTCCAGCAGCCTCTGCTAAGAGAAGCCTTCCATTTGTCTTTCAAGTGGCAGGCTGCTCCATTTGTATTTACACCCACACCTGGCTACGCCCTTTCCAAAACCAGCTCACATGCTCTAAAAAGACCAAGGAGATGGAGGACAAAGCACGAGAGATACAGCAAACAAGCCAAGAGAGCAGGGGATGGTAGACAACTGGCTACATGGTTAATGTAGTTTATGTGACAGTTTATAAACCATCCCAGCTGTTCTAGCCATTTTAACTCTTATTTTGTTAGTGCAGAGTGTACCGTACCAGCCATGCTTTCGGACTGGCGGAAAGGAACAGCCTCATGCTGTTGATAAAGATGCATTATGAAGGCTGTTTGTGCCGGTTATGAATGCTAGAGCAGGAATAGCCCAAAAGGGTCTGTTTCTCACTGTCACTCTTTTACTAGCAGAACTGTTTTCTTCTTTAATTTAAGATGTAAGCCTGGGGGGGATGGGTTTGTACTAGATCTGTTTTTACAGAAGCAACAATCTATTGACTTTGATCCTTATCTGCTTTGTTTTAACTGGCCAACCTTCAAGTGATTACTGATGACCCTTCTGCCTTCCTGTTTTTCCTTTTGATTTTTTCATAACCTCTGCTCCTTGTTTCCTGCCCCCCCTCTATTTTCTTCCCTCTTCTCCCCTATTTATTTTGGGTCTGCACATCCTAAACTCAACACTCTGGTCATCTGAAGAAGTGGGCTGGGCCCATGAAAGCTTGTGGTCCCATCGACATGTTTTGTTAGTCTATAAAGTGCTACCAGACCAGTTTTTGTTTTTTAAGTTTATCCTGTACAGACTAACTCGGCCACCCCCGGCCTTGTAATTATTCTTTGTGAGAGTGCAGAATGAGGAATGTGCACAAGGATAAGTGTGAAGGCCATCACCAGACTAGATGTTCTAGGGAGAAGCTGAGGACAGGCAAAAGCACCAGTAGATTGCTGTATGCCCCTATGGCAGGCCTGGGCAAAATACAGCCTGCGGGCCGGATCCAGCCTGCCAAGTTACCTGATGTGACCCGCAGATGCAGCGGGGAGCCCCAGGCAGGCTCCCCACTTGCCTCGCCCCACCCGCATGCTGCTCAGAAACACGGCTGTCGGGTGGTTTTGCTTTAAAATCTGTGAACGTGGAAAGGAGGGGGGAAGGCTTTAGGAGCTGCTCCTGCCCCCAGCACAATCCCATTGGCTGGGTTCTGGCCAGAAACTGGCCAATGGGAGCTGCCTGTTCCAATAACACACAGCCAAAAAGGGAAAAACCCCTTCCCCTCCCGGGTTTGTAGTTATTCACAGAGCACATGGCTACAGCTCGTGCGGGGATGGGGCAGGCAGTCAGGGAGGCTGCTTCAGGAAAGTGCTAGGCTGCTGGCTGGTAAGTCTCCTGGCCAGAGTCTGCCTCTGGCACCCCAGCCCCTCCCTCCCTCAACCCTCTGCCTCCCATTCCTATCCCCTACTCTACTTACCAAATCCTCTGCCCCCTCCTGCATCCATACCTCCCAGATCTGACACCCCAGTCCCCTGCCCTAGCTCACAACCTAAACCCCTGCACATCACTCCCCTGTACCTCCTCCTGTATCCCAATTCCCTGCCCTAGGTCACAATCCAACCCCCTGCAGCTCAGTGCAGTGCCCCACATTATAAGCATTTCCTCCACCCAAACGCCCTCCCTTACCCCAAGCTCCTTTCTGCACCTAACCTCCATCCCAAATTTCCTGCCCAGGTCACAATCCAACCCTCTGCACTCAAGTCCAGTGCCCCAGGTCACAACTGCCTCCTTCACCCAAACTCCCTCCCTTACCCCAAGCTCCCTTCTGCACCCAACCTCCAGCCCAGACCCCACAGCTCTTCCATTAACATCATGGAAGAATGCGGCTCTCAACCACTTTCCAAATTCTTGTGTGTCCCCCCCCAAAAAGATTGCCCACCCCATGCCTATGGAGATGTGGATGAAGGGCAGACTGATGACTCTAAAAGATAAGGCAAGCACCTATCAACAGGGACAAGATAGCTGTGATATGAACAACTTAAGAAAACAAGCACTCGTCAAATGGTGATTGAATACAGCAGGACAGTGCAAAACTTACTGATCCCAATGAAGGAAAACTGCTATAAAAAGGGACACAGTTTTGGGGTTCCAGCCTACTAAGACTTCCACTGGAGCATCACGTCATGTTCCTTCCTATCCACAATTAATCTGACTGGCCGCCAGAGTGATCCGGACCCTATAACATCGACTGGTGGGTGAGAGGGAGGGAGCTAGCTGCTTCACTACTATATGCTTAATAAACATGGTGTCTTCCCTTTTTCCCTTTAAAGACCCCTTACGCTTCTTATAAGCGCAACAATATGCCTGATCTCATAACTTGCTGGGGGTGAATGTGCTTCTTAGCCAAAGGACATGCTCATCACTGTTACTTGATTTCCTCTGGGTAATTAATTTCATAGTTCTCACATGCCCATTAGATGCTGTCGGGGTCTCCACATGCACGTTTCTGCAGAAGCCATCACTATTCATAATCTCAGCTGGAAGAGAAGGAGCAAAACATGGACAACGTGGACGAAAGCTGACGTGGACTAAATATAAAGGACTCTCCGCAGCTTCCAAATCCTGCTTAAGCTCTGGCAACCTGATTCATGTTGACCTCAAGGCCATCTGACTGCTGTCAGATACCGATCATCGCTCCCAACTCAAGGCATATTTTCCACATCCTGCTTTCATAAATCATTCAAACACATTGAATATACTGAAAACAAACCCCGCCCTTTCAAAGGGTCAGCGCAACACTTGGACACACCAAGCTAACTGCCCAGGGACCCAGGTCCAGAAATCTTCCCAACAAGTCAAGAGCTCGCAGCCGATGCACCTGGCTTAGCAGCACCTGTAGAGAGAGGAAAACAAAGATTAGTGCCATGAACAGAAAGCCTTGTGAGCGCTGGGCAAGGACAGGACGCCCTCGGAGGGGCCCTCTGGTCAGACACATCAGCCTCGCGTAAGTTTCAAGGCTCTGAATAATGTTGAAAGGCAAGAGGGCTGTCTGGCCGCAGACTTGCCCCGTCAGCCCTATCTGGGGAACAGTCAGCTCCTAATGCAGCAATGCTCCCCTCTGGAAAGTTTGAGGCAGAGATGCAAATGTTTTTTCTTGGAATGCAGCTTGTTTTCTCAGCTCTCAGGAAGTGGGGGTTCTGACACAGATCCCATCTGCTCACATCTCTCTCTGGCACAGAAGTGGCAATCCAGCTTGGGCCTGCTACAAGCAGCCACTCTGGCTGTGAAATGTTCTCTCCTGATTTACAGAGGGAAGAAAGGAACAAAGCAGGGGCAGATGGTGTCCCAGGGAAGTGGTCAGGCGAAGCAGCAAGCCCAATCCCCCATTACCCAAACCAACTCGGAAGCAGAACTAAGGCTTTGCTTCCCATGGCGAAGGGATGCAAGAGGCTAAGGAGTTAAGCAACGGGGTCACACTGGCCTTCAATAAAACTCTCATTAAAACAGAATCTGATGCCGATAATGAGCCAGGAGTTGGACTGACTTACATGTGAAATATGCACAGAGACCTCCAGCTGGGAAACTCTGTAGCAGATGTAAGTTTTAGGAATGTGATGCTTAATCCTCTGTTAAAACAATTAACATCCCCAGTTTGGATCATGGAAGACGCTCCCTGATTTGGCGCCACAATTTGCCTCCCCTGCAATTATTTGTTGGTGTTCCACTTTCAAAACTGAATAGCAGTGGCTAATCCTGCCTGGGTAATGCATACTTCGTGGGCGGGGCCAGAAGGGAAGAGTGACATTTAGGTGAGGGTACAGCGAGCAGACTGACTTTTCACTCCTTAACAACGTGCCAATCCCAATATAGGTCCAGAGAGAAAGGACTCCGGTCACTCCGCCCTAGCTGGCATCTCTCTACACCCCAACACCGCTCTAATTTGGCACAAGCAGCAGTGTGCTCAGGAGATGTCTGGCACTAGGGTAACAGGGAGATCTGTTTTAGACGGGAGCAGAGATTGGCAGTCAGGGCAGGACTGAAGTAAGGGGGGGGGCAGGCTGAGTGTAAGGTACGTTGGCAGAGAAGGCTGAAAAGCAGGTACCTTGTACCTTTCCCTTTAATAAGAACTAAATAAATCCACAAATTCTGTCAAAGACGGGAGAAAAAAATCAGATGCAATTGTAAAAGGGTTTTGAAAGAAGCATGCAAATGCATCTTCCTGATGCTAATAGCACGGAGGCATGTATAAAATCTCTCCGAGACTGAATTCAACCTACAATTCGTTATCTGAGAGATGTCTCTGGGTCTCTCACGCGTACATTTCCCTGAACCAAAGCCATGCCATGACCTGAAGACAGAAGTGATGTGGGGGACAAAAGCCATCTGACCAAAACGACATGAGCTTAAAGGAACCAGGAGGCAGACCCGGTGATGGGGCCTACACAAGGGTAAGGTCTCCATTCCCTAAAAGGATATGATGCTCTTTCTAAAGGGGCAGGGGGCTGCAGGGCCATTTGGAGTCCGGAATACCAATCGGTTTGGTTTGTTAGATCACACAACTACACAGAGCTGTCCAGTGACAGAGACCCCCTGCTTGAGGTTAGAAGCCAGCAGCACATTTCAGATTGGGAGCATCAAGCATCTAAGAGGGGAAGTGGATCTGAAAAAGACAAAGAGGCCGACAACATCAGTGCGCAAACTGTCGCCATTTCCGAAGCAGCGTGTGAACCAGCCACCCGCCCCACGTTTCACATTTCCGCCGGGCATGCGGCTCTAGCCTCGCCTCGCCCTCTGAGCTGCTGAAAGCATGTTCCTGAGCCAGGTGAACGCTCACAACGGCTGCAAGATGAATTACCAGAAGAGCCTCCCGGTGCCAGCTCGGTGAGTGGAAGGCGGTGGACATGGTGCCAGGGAAGAAGCCGGCCTGCTCCCATCACAGTGACAGAGACAAACAGCACAGCTCTCTTTCCAACTGTGCTCAGCCTCTGGCGGCTCCAAAAATTCAGATTTGGTCTCAAAAAGATTGATGGGGCTGTCAGTCAAGAGGCACGTTAGTGGTGGTGGGGGGGGGGGGTGTCCTTTTTCCACTCTGGAGATGGAAACCAGATGTCCTTGAGCATGTGCTGACTCGGACCCCACGCCTTTGAGGGGGAGAGGATCGATATTTTGCTGCCGAAGGGAAAGGTGACCAACGCTACCGTGATGAGGGTTTGCGGGTTGGGGGTGGGGGGTCTATGAGCCTGCATTTGAGGGTGTAGCGGGGCCCCGGGGCATTCTTCCTTTGCTCCCCAGGTGTAAGAGGAGACCCCCAGGGCTCCGTGGGCTTCACTCAAACTCTTTTTTCCTTCCTATAGGTCAGGGGTCTCAGACTCACGGCTCGTGAGCTATTTGTGGCCCAAGCGGTTCCACAGGCCGGCTCCTGCGGCCCTAGGGGGGAGCATCTGTGCCCTTCCCTCAAGCCCAGCCCCTGCTCCACTCCTGCCCTGCCTCTCCCAGCCCTGCTCCCCCCCCCATGCACGCCTATCCCGCAAGTCCCCCCGCCAAGGATGCAGCCGCCATGGTTTCTGGGAGGCCTGGTGTGGGGCAGCGGCAGGGGTCAGGCCTCCTGACACTCACCGTGGCAGTGGGAATTGGGTGAAGTGGAGCAACGCAGCAGCCGCTGCTCTGCTCTGCTGCCAACTCCCAGGCCAGCCCAGCAGCTCTGCTTCACCCCAGCCCAGCCCCAGCCCGCTGCTAATCTGAACATGGGGGGACCATCCCAGCCACAGGACAGCTGAGGAGGCCACTGAAGACTCCCAAAGCGAGAGCCCAGGGTGGCCCAAGCGCCTATGGACAGGATGGCTCTGCACATGGCTGCCCCGGCCCCGGGGACGTGCCAGCAGTGGCATGGAGCTAGTCGCCAGATGTCTCTCTAGCCCTGCCATGCTGGCAGTGGGGGAGGCTCTCAGAGGGTTTAACCACCTGGGGGCAGCAGGCGGGGCTGGGGATGGAGCGAGGAGACGCTCCTCTCCTCTCCCCTCCCCTCCCCCCCCCTCCCCAACAACCCCGTCAGAGGGGTT